AGGACTCAGGCTAACATAAGGAATGTTTCCTTTTCTCTCCCCGATCAGCGACAGCATTTTCTTGTTTCCCTCCAGTTAATCAGAGCTTTTTTCTTCCTCCAGCCTGTTTGAGCTATTGGTTTTTCTCTTCAGTCAGTTACACCATTTTCTTGTCTTTCTCCGATCAACCAAATCTTTTCCTTGTCTCTCTATGATCAACCAGAGCCTTTCCTTGTCTCTCTACGATAAACCAGAACTTTCCCTTGTCTCTCTTCGATCAACCAGAACTTTTCCTATTCTCTCTTCGATCAACCAGATCTTTTCCTTGTCTCTTTCTGATCAACCAGATCTTTTTCACTTAATTTTCTCTACGGTTAACTCTGAGGTCTTTTTTGTATCTATCTCAGCTTTCTCTTGTCTCTATTCAATCAGACTGCATTTCCTTTTCTGTCTCCAATCAGCCAGAACTTTTTCGTCTCTCTACAGCATCCAGTCACACCTTTTGTTTGATTCTCAGTGACCAGCTTTTCCTTATCTCTCTGTGGCCAGTCAAAGCTTTTACTCTATTGTCTGTGAACGTGCCTACAAGCAGTCGTCAGCCTTTATTGCCACAATCAGTCAATTAAATTATCTTGAGAAATTTTATGAGATGTAATCATTTTAATTTGGAATTATTGAAAATGAGAAACGAAAAAAATTTATTAAATTAATTTTACACAAACCGAATGACTGGGAGGATTCAAGAATTAGAATTTAACATTAATTGAACTTTTTTTTTTTCATTAGCATTTATGCAGAAAATATCAACTAAATAATAAAATATCAATGATTATGACAGAAAACAATTTCTCCTTAAACCTACTTGAGATTCCGAAATATTCTTATAATAATGACTTTACTCACGTTCAATGCAAGTTCTGCCCTGAAAGCCAGCTGTGCAAACGCACTTGAAATTCTCTCCAACGTTGAAACATTTAGCACCATTCTTACACGGTTGAAGTCCACAAGGGTTTGCTACAAAATCACAAAGATCTTCATTAAGTTTGTTTTAAAACATTAAAAATATTGCATTATATAAACTCTATGTGATACTGGCATCAGTAAATATTTCGAACACTCAATAACTGTCCCATTATAAATATCATAAACCACATCTCTCACCGTTCTGTCTCGGTAGAGTTCAAAAGCGATTACACGGTCTTTTGGGTGATGAATTATTCTTCATCCTGCCACACTTATCCCACAGACGAAACATTGCGAAACTCTCACTGCTCTATACCGATTACTGTGACAAACGTTCAAATAAGCCACATTTATTTATCGCACCACTTCAGACCTTCACAGCTAGGGTCCGTCATGCCGTATTCACCCCCCAGTGAAGAAAAAAGCAACTTCCTCTCGGGAAGCTTCTTCTCCAGAACTGTTACTATGTGGAACTGCCACTAGAAAGGATGTTTCCCCAATCACTACAATCTCAGTTATTTCAAATCGAGAGTGAACCGATATCTATCCTATATTTCCTCAAAACATGTACTAGTTATTTACTCCTCTCCCCTCCATTAAAACAATCTCTCAGTAAATCTCTATCTTGAGTGACCCTCGGGCCTTGTATTGAGTGAACTTGTATTGTTTTCATCTTGAGGTTCTTGGCAAAATCCAAAGAAGGATCTGTAATGTAATCGATCCTAATGTGGCATCTCAACATTCTCACCAAAGTAGCGTGGCTTACCTCAGTTTTTTTACAGATATTTTAATCGCAACAGCTCTGATGAGTTTTTCCCTACTGCCCTGACTACTTGAATTTAAGAGGACTTCTAGATTAGCATCTTGATCTTAACCCTTTACTATTGAAATAGCTAAATTCTCGCACTTCCCGCTTGTGAGATTCCATTTCGTTTACTTGCTTCCCCGGTAACTATAATATCCAGAAATTTAAATGCAACGTCAATCGCCATCTTCTATCTTCTTGAATTTCATTAATTTCTTGTCCTTTCTTTAATCCTCCCTAGACTCAGACTTGCACTTTTTCTCTCAGTAACCTCCTGCGTACTAGTGGCATTCCCGCCTTGATTGGAGGAAATGATAAAAAAAATATACCCGAAATGTAAGGTACTTACATATGTAAAATACCAAAATGTCTTCAGACTGTGCATGACTGAACAGTCAGTCAGTGGTTTTATTTTTTTCTCTACGTGATAGTACCGTTGAACACAGATGTGAGCATATCTGTCATATTCATAATACTCAGTCTACTGTGTTTACTACTAAGTTTCATATTATCTATTAGGTGAGGTTTGTAAAATTGTACTTCAACGGCTCCGTGATCTTTACGGCAACAAGCAAATATAAACAACATGGATAAATTATATTCTGCGTAAAGCTCAGTAAGCCAATGCGCGTAAAATGTTTTGTCAGGATTTTAGGGAGCAGTTATTTTAGTAGCATATTAAAATTGACCGTGCATTGATTCAAGATGATAATTGTTAAACGTGACCAATCATCAAAAACTAAAACGCCCCCAAGTATGGGAATATATCGTTTGATTCGTTTTCAACGGCTTACGAAAGGTTTGCAGGTTATGTAAAGCCAGAAAATATTTTTAGATTGCAAGAATTGTTTTTAGATAATAATGGCTTAAAGGTAAAACTCTTTTTTAATCATTTCACCCCAAGCAAGGTAATAAAGCCACTATGACGCAAGGAGTTAGAGAATAGGATACAAAAAACTACTATTAAGGATCGCAAACAATAAACTAACAAGAATTAAGAATAGAGAAGATAACGATTTACATTGAATTTAAATTTTTGGGTATAAAGGTTTAGTGATACAAGTTTTACTAAATAATCCTTAGCTGGATGGAGAAGAGATTGGTTCATACTTTTCCCGATGGTATTTGCGCGTAAATGAATATAACGAACCCAACTGGAATTGGAACTCGGCTCTCCGATTAATAATTCTTAGTCATTATACATTACATCACCTGCACATCCAAGTTTACAGCACCTGGTATTCCCAAGCGCCTTTCCCAAGGATATTTACACGTAAGTGAATATAACGGACCCAACAGGAATTGGGATTCGTCTCTAGAATTAATAATTCCGAGCCATTATCCATTACACCTCCCGCACATCCAAGTTTATAGAACCTGATATTCCCAAGTGGTCACCTATCTAAATAATGACCATGCTTAACTTCGGCGACCGTACGGAAACCAATGTTGCAACGTGATGTGTCCATAAACCGGGAAAAAATAGTGAACCCATAACCTCTGACATTTAGGGGTGTACGTTTTAAGGCCTAATCCTGGAACTTTCCGATATCCTCTCTCTCTCTCTCTACACACACACACACACACACACACACACACATATATATATATATATATATATATATATATATATATATATATATATATATATAGTGTTGCGGAAAAGTGAAACCCTAAAATAATGTTAAAAAATGTCTCTTTTTTTTCAGATGATCAACAAATCTTAATTAAACTATATATTAATTAAGAAAAAACCTTTAATAAACAAATTATAACTTTCAAAATATTTTATATAGTTGGAATCAAGATATTGATTAAAAAGTAAGATATACAAAAGTAAGTGAACCCTTACACTTACTATTTGGTGACTCCTCCTTTTGAGGTCACGATATTGAGTCCCCCCACCACGAGGGTTTCATGTGGCACAAAGCCTTTTTAACGTGGACATTCCGAGCCCGTGGGCTCGGCCAAAAATATGCCCATTGAACCCGTATAAATGGGTTCAGGGCCGGTCTACGTCCCCGAAGGAGACTCCGCCCTTCGCCGGAGCCTCCTTCGGGTTCCTCCCGTCCGTAGGAAGAGAGTTCAACCGAACAGTCGGTTCAAAAGTGAACGACTGACTCCTTTTGGGGTCACGACGTCGACCAGTCTTTTTCTGTAATTTTTAAGAAGTTTCTCACCAAACTGAGTGTCAGTTTTAATGCATTCTTGTTGGCAAAACTATCACAATTTCTCGATATTAAATGAGTTTCTTGCATGTACTACCTTCTTTAACTTGAACCACAGATTTTCAATTGGGTTTAGATCAGGACTTTAAGTAAGCCATTCCAAGACTTGAAAAAAAATTTGTCGGCCCATTATTTTGTGAATGTGCTTTGATTTCGGATCATTGTCCATTTGCAAGATCCAGCTTCGATCTACATCCAACTTTCGAACTGAGGGCAAGACATTTTCATTCAAAATTGCTTGGTATCTTCCAGAGTCCATTGTGCCGTCAATGCGAACTATTTTGCCTGTTCCAGAAGCAACAAAGTACCCACAAATCATTATGCTGTCGCCGCCATGTTTAACTGTTGGCACCAAATTCTTCTCTACAAATGCTGTATTAAGAGCTCGCCAGACATATCGCCAGTCGTTCCTCCTGAAAACTCATCCGACCATAATATCTTTTGCCAGAACGTTTCTAGCTTATTAATATGAGCTTATGCATAGTTTGTGCTTTTTTCCTCAGATTTCGTCGCCCTGAAGTTGTATACACATTGATTCCAACAGCGGCTAGTGACCCTTGGAAAATTGCAGATGTCTCAGCAGGATTCACCTGGACTTGCCGAACCTTATGTCTACTTCCTCTTGCAGTTATTTCTCGCGGACGACCACATTTGATTGCGATACCGTCATACCAAAGGCATTCCATTTATAGATAATTTGTTGTACGGTGAAGACGTGCACTCCAAATCGTTTCAGGAAGTTCTTTTGATTTTGGCATATTTTCTATTTAGCCTATAACTGTAACCGTTTTGCATACACAATGAATTATATTGAAAACAACTGAATTGTATTGAAAGCAATTGAATTATATGTAAAACAAAAACAGTGTAAATATAAAAGTTCACTCACTTTTTCACATCTTTAGTTTTAATTTTTAATTAATATTTTTATTCCAGCATTAAAATGTGTTGTAATTCATTTAATAATGGTTTTTTCTTAATGAATATATAGCTTAATTGAGATTTGTTGATCATCTGGAAAAAGAGACAAATTTCATTTAATATTATCTTAGAACTTCACTTGCTTTTATATGAAGAAATATACTCTTAAGATGTGCTATATTTACGGGATAAAGTGCTCAATATCAGAGATAGAGCGTATATAAATATAAATATAAAAGTGAACATTCAGAGACGACATGCAGTTTCATGCTAGATGTAATCGTCAGGCACTAGCAGGAAACAGCCTGTCGCATCTGAGTGCTGACTTCAATGTTCACTTTCATATATATATATATATATATATATATATATATATATGTGTGTGTGTGTGTGTATGTATCTATATGTGTATATATGTATATGCATAGATGTGTGTATATATATAAAAGTAAATGTTCAGATGACCTCTCTCTAATCTGAGTTTAGTGAACATGGTATTCAAACGATCAATTTTTTTGCGAAATACAATATTATATATATATATATATATATATGTATATGTGTGTGTGTGTGTGTGTGTGTGTGTGTGTGTGTGTGTGTGTGTGAAAATATATAGAAAATAGGAAATAACTCGTTAGGTAAATAATCCAATGTTCTTTAGCATTTTTGTTATTATTTTTAAAAAATAGTGCTCGATACAAAATTAGAGCATAAATATAATTATTTATTTAAAAATATGATTCCAGCACGCCATATATATATATATATATATATATATATATATATATATATATATATATATATATATGTGTGTGTGTGTGTGTGTGTGTGTTTGTGTGTGTGTGTATCCATATGTGTATATATGTATATGCATAGATGTGTGTATATATATATAAAGTAAATGTTCAGATGACCTCTCTCTAATCTGAGTTTAGTGAACATGGTATTCAAACGATCAATTTTTTTGCGAAACACAATATTATATATATATATCAACAATCAACAATAAAGGCAAGACTGAGTGGTGACAGTAACATGTTTGAATTCTATATCCAACTTTCGAACTGAGGGCAAGACATTTTCATTCAAAATTGCTTGGTATCTTACAGAGTCCATTGTGCCGTCAATGCCTGTTCCAGATGCAACAAAGTACCCACAAATCATGCCAGTTGAATTGTTTAGTAACTGGACTGTTTATATATGTTTGTCATTCGGTGATTATAGACAGCAAGGTAAGTTATTTTTGGTTTATTCTAACGGTTATTAAATCGACCGAAACTTATTTTAAACTATTCTAATGGCTACTGAATAGAAATAATTATGGGTCATAATATCTTTTATTTTGCTATGATGTCTTTCAGGGAGCAAGTACCCAGAAATAAGGAAAGGTAGATTTATAAATGGATAGATGTAACCGTAAGTTTTATACTAACAATTTCTTCTCTCGCACTTCTTGCTTGAGGAAATCTCTTCCACCCTCTTGCTTCTCAGTCAAATTTTATCATAAAACATTTAAATGCAACGTCAATCGCTATCTTGTTATTTTATTGTTCTCTCCCCTTAACTGTATTTTTTCTCAAAGTCTCTAAGACTCGGTTTCTCTTAGCATCTTAGCGACTTTATTGCTTTGCTTGGAGTGAAATGTTTTTTCAAAAAAATTGTTATTCACCGGTCTGAAGTTTATTTTTTATTTATTTTCACAGACATGAAACATAGGCGTGTGCGAAGTGACACACAGACATTATGTGACGGACACAGAATCATCTATTTTATAAAATGAATTGTTCAGAGGGATTTTAAAGCCGAACAATTTGACATGAGAACTGGGGAGAACAGGACTCTGGTCAAGAGCCATAACAAAACAGAAGGCTAAGACGAACCCAGGTACGAAAGTCACTTATGCTAACTTGGAGAACAAAAGTGAGTAGCTCAACCAGGGGTAGGGGTCCCTCCACTGATAATGCAAACATATAGTTTATATATCTTTTAACAATCTTAGGTTTCCGACAAAAATCCCGAAGAGTACCGAAACCATAGTTAATTTCTGTAAAGTCTCTTTCTCTCCTTTTCGATAGCTGCTATTAACTATAATTAAAAATGCATTTCCCCACGTGAAATGCATCACAATAGCTAGAACTAGCAGAAAATAAAACAAAACAAAGAAAAACATGTTGGATATGATTGATGGCGAATCGCCTTATAAAAAATGAAAATATAAGTGAGAAAGGCGGATTCATTTCGAAAAAAAGATTCTAAAAGTTGGATAAATCGGCAAATAAAGGATCAGAATAAAAAAATAATTCTCTTTGCATACACTTTCACTTATGCTTCCCCTTCCACGCACACACATTAACCTTGACTCCCAATTGTACGCCACACTTTCTGATTGCTCAAAATGCCACTGAATATATTATTTTCATATTGTAAAATATACATTGGGAAAATATTTTGAAAAGAAAGACCTGCAAAAAAAAAAAAAAATCATTGCCTTACGTTCGACACAGGTCAGTCCCATGAAGCCTGCTGTGCAAACACATCTGAATTTCTCCCCTTCGTTAAAACATTCGGCACCATTTTTGCATGGATCAAGTCCACATGGATTAACTGCAGAAGATAAACATGAAAACCGGTTTTTAAAAACAGGTTACTTTAACCTTTCTACAAAGAAACAGCAAAAAAAAACAAAAAAAAACGACAAAAATAAGAAAAATAAACAAGATTTTCTTGTGAAACTGACTTACTTTCAGAACAAATTTTTCCTTTATATCCAGGTTTGCATTTACAGAAGTATTCTTCCCCTCTGTTCAGGCACTCCGCACCATTTTTACACGGCATCAGTCCACACGGATTTGCTGAATTCAAAAAAAAAATATATCATGTTACCTATGAGAGAATTATCAATAATTTTTCTTTTCCACTTATAAATTGGGAAATTTCAAGTGTTTTGTTTTAAACATTAACAGCAGAATTACAGCGAAAAATGCAAATATTGAAAATTACATGGTGCAGAAACATCTTAGGCATCTCCCACGTTGACATTATCAATGACGCAGAAAAAGATACTATCAATCAGAAGCAGACATGTTGAAAGAACCCATATCAACCGTCAAGAAGAGAAAATTACAATGTATAACCACATTATAAGAGCCAACAATCTTTCCACTGCCATCCTACAATGTTCAACTTTTCGTCCTGGGTAAGACGATAAACTACATCCAGCAGCAAGGCCTCTGATCAGGAGGTTTTGAGGAGCGTGGAATCACCTCTTAATTGCTGGTGTTCCCAGGTTCGCCCTGACGCAGGGTGGTAGCACCTGTTAGGGTCCCAGTTATGGGCAAATAGTTAACTATTACCAGCAATACTTTTTTGAAAAAATTATTACCAGCAATACAATTTTGAATGAAAAATATTACCAGAAACAGATTTTTGACAAAACAAAATATTACCAACAATAAAAAATGTTGTCGGCATTAAATAACCCATTGAGGTTGATATGCCGTAAAACAAAATAAACCAAACCAATCTAAACCAAAGAATACATAGTCCATTCATAAGAATCTATCCTAAAAATCTTGTCAGCATTAAATTATCTACTGAGGTTGATATGCCATAAAACAAAATAAACCAAACCAAACCAAACAAGGTTCAACTTTAGGAAAAATAAAGAGGACAAAGGAAAAAATGGCCAGGCAATGTCACTTCGTGGAATGGGATCCTTTATAGAACCTCAAGCATTGGCACGTAACCAAAACAGAATGAAATAACTGCAGATTTTGAAATGACCAGAGACCATATGACCACACCCGAACATGGGACTGATGACGATAATAATGACAATTTTAAACGACACTAGTTCGAATAACTATATAAAATGGTGAAAATAAGGAATTATTTTAATCTATTCTTTGCCTGTCAGTAGATACCGAAATGTAATGAGAAATTTCATTAAAAGAAATAACTTTTGCTTATTTGCAGCGGAGTTAAAACAGAACAAAAGGACAAAACAATAACCAATATATTCAACGATATCTGCATCAAAATATAGTTTTCGTTGTCCTTCCTTCTTCTATTCCCAAAATGTAAATAACTCTTTCGTGACGTAGCAAAGAAAGTCACGTAACCGAGCAAAAACTGCGAGACACCTCAGAAAAAAAGGAAACTCGAAAAATGCATAACGACAAAATCAACCAATCAAGAGACAACATTGGGAATTACTAACTACATGCGGTCAAAATCAAATTGGCTTTAGCCAACCGATGTTAAGAAAAATTTCAAGATATACTCATGTTAAATATTGATGTTTCTACGGGACATAAAGGGGGAGATCGATTTTCTGTTCTTATTAAATTATAAAGTTATCCTCCTAGAACTATTACACGGTACTATATTTTATGGTACAATTAATGCTTTCACAATAAGATTGCTATTAGCCAACTGATGTTGGGAAAGTATCAAGATATGTTTACGCTAAATATTGATACATTTCTACTGGACATAAAGTGGGTGATCAGCATTTTATTTCTAATAAGTAATTAATTGGTACCCACAAAATTACTATATTGTCAGATTTTTATGATGCAACTCAATGAGTAATACTGTCAGAATAAATTATATGATAAATATACCACGTCATTTTTAGTCTATAATTATCTGTCCGTATAAAAAGAAAACAACTATTGATAATAACTTATATATAATGATTTGAGATTTTAAAATCTGATCCCCCACTTTATTTCCAATAGAAACTTATATTAATATTTTATGCAAACATCAGTGGGTTAATAAAAGTTCCACTGTAAAAAACATTAATTTGCATCGTAAAATTTGATTGCGGAGGCAATTTGCCATTTTATTTGAAAATAGATTTAATTAAACAATGTCTACTAATGGGATATTTCAAATGAAGCCCAATAAAGTAGGAATGTTTATAAATTAACAAAACAACATCTTCAAGAAGCAGTTACTGAAAAAAAAGTATTTTGTGATCAAAATTGGAATTTTTAAAAATAAGAATAATGATTAACCAATAGTAAGAAATATATAAATAATATTTACATAACATAAGTGAAACAGATAATTATTGAAATATAGTCCAATAAAAAGAAATATTTTTCACTAGTGCAAAAATATTTTGCACTAATACTAAAATGTTTTAAACTAATTTGCAATATTTTTACCAAATATTTCAATGTTTCGCACAAATATAAAATAGTTTGACAAAATATATCATCCTAATATAAAATATTTTGCACTAATACAAAAATATTTTGCACTAATTTTCAATATCTTGCACTAATACAAAATATTATGCACAAAAATATATCGTACTAGTTCAAAAATATATGACACTAATAGACAATCTTTTGCACTAATTCCTAATAATTTGCACTAAAAATATATATTAATGCAAAAAATATTTTGTACTAATACTAAAATGTTTTACACAAATTTGCAATACTGTTGCAGAGTATTTCAATATTTTGCACTAATACAAAAATATTTTCACAAAAATATCGCACTAAACGAAAACTATTTCGTACTAATATTAAATATTTTGCACTAATTTTCAATGTTTGCCCTATTTTGCACTAATACAAAATATTTTGCACAAAAATATATCGCACTAATACAAAAATATATTGCACTAATACAGAAATATTTAGTACTAATTTGTAATGTCTTGCACTATTTTTCAATAATTTGCACTAATGTTAAAATATTTTGCATAAAAATATATCGTATTATATACAAAAACATTCTGCACTAATGGTAAAATATTTTTACAATTATACTAAAAAAAATTGCAATAGCACTAAAGATATGTTACATAATGGAAAAGTATTTTGCACTAAAACAAAAAATGTTACATGATGCAAAATTATTTTGCACTGATACTAAAAGTATTTTGCGCTGATACAAAAATATTTTGCACTAAATAAAATTTTTTGTACCAATACAAAATCTACTCACGTTCAATGCAAGTGGTTCCCATAAATCCAGCTGTACACACACATCTGAATTTCTCTCCTTCATTGAAGCATTTTGCACCATTCTTGCAGGGGTTAAGTCCGCATGGGTTGGCTAAAAATTAAAATACTCACGTTATATTCTGTTAGCTATTGAAAACAGTGTAGTAGATTTTTTTTTCTTTTCACATCTATGAATTCATTTTAAAACTCAAATAATGTCATTTATTTCACGTGTAAGGATTTTAAATTTCAATACAGTGAACCTCTGATAAATGCATCCTATACTGGCAGCATGTTAGCTAACGCTACATTTAAACTTGAAAACCTATGAGCTTTATTTCTTTTTTACTTCATAAAAGAAAAGGATAATAAAACGTTTTAGAATAATAAATTTATTGAAAGGAACACTTTATTTTTGTAATAAAATTTACATTTGCTTTGTATCCCTCGAGGGCTGGGCTTATAGTGAAAGGACGCGAAAAAGAAAGTCTCACGGTTCCGTCGCTAAAATACAAACAGGCAAAAACTTTACGCGAGCAAGTGGCTCATGCATATCTTCCGACAGGAAAATAAAATAAATTAAGAAAGGAGTTCAGTCAATAAAATCTTCTCCCACCGAGGGTAAAATAATTTTTAGCCTCTTGAGATCTTATAATTCTCCAGAGGCCAAAAATTAAGCAGACGTTTTTTATCTCGTTGAAAAATCTTTTTCAACGGCCACATAAGTCACATCAGCTTTCTATTTCGATAACAATTATTATCATAATGGTTGTCACATGCAAACTACTTCCCCATCTATTATATTGAATCAATTGCTTGGTCTGCTCCTAGAAAAAGTTGATTCACTGTGTCGTGCGAAACAGTTTTTCTCCATCGAATCTATCTTACGTATTTATAAGTCTGCCATCTTTCCATAATTTGACTACTGTTACCACATCTGTTCTGGTGTCCCTGCAATATATTTAGAGATCCTTAATAAAATCCAAAGTAGAATCTGCAATATGATTGGTCATGTCTTGGCATCCCGGCTTCAGTCACTTTCCTATCGCCATAATGTAGCTTCCCTCTGACTTGTCTATAAGTACTTTCATGGTAATTGTTCTGCTGAACTTTCGTATATGGTGTCTAGACTTCATGAATTTAAGCACAATACTAGATTAGTGGAAAGGTTTCATCATTTTACAGCTGGAATGGATAGATGTAACCGTAAGTTCTATGTTAATAGTTCTGCATTTTTTGCTTGTGGAACTCTCTTCTTGCTTCTTGCTTTTCAGTCAACTTTGATCTTCAAAAATTTAAATGCAATGTCAATTGTTATTTTCTGTTCTCTTAGTTATTGTTCTCGCTCCTTAATAATGTTTCTTTCTTTTTCTTATATTCTTTCCCACTCACTAACCTTCTGCGTCTTAGTGGATTTATTGCTTTGCTTGGAGTGAAATGATTCAAAACCTTCAGTAACATTTGAACTTAATATTCGTACAACGCTTGTTGTTTTTTTTTATAAATGATTAATTACTTGAACTTTGAAGCTTAAACCTTCCCCCTTATAGTTAATGATCTCGTAGTACATTTCTACAGAAAACGTTGATTCTGCTAGTATGATTAATCTTACACAGACCTACACTGACTGAAACA